AATTGGCCGAGATCGTTAAGTGACCACTACGGTAGCTCAGTGTTTCTCGGTTCAAATCCCTAAGATGCTTGAAAAATCGAGTGTATAGTTTTTCATAATTATCAAATATTAGTTCAAAATATTAAATTCAGGTGTCGCATTTCGACCTTGACACTTAGTATATTTCTGAAAAACAAAAAAAACTCAAGTTTCGCACTTCACTGTAAGAGAGATACATAAAGAGAAAAAAAAAAAAAGGTAGAGGAAGAACTGGGAAAGAGAGGGGTAGAGGCAGATGATGAATAAGAGAGATGTGTATGATACATATTCTTTATTAAAATTCAATATTAATACAATATAGGAATAAAAATAACTTTTATCATCAATAACTTAAATAGCCGAGCGGTTTAAGTGACCGCATACTCGGTGAAATCACTCTGGAGGCAGGCACAAGGTGAGACGGATCGAGTCCAGCTGAAGGCGACGACGAGCAACTCTGAAGCAGAAAAAGGAGCAGTGCTGGTGGCTGGCTGTTGGCGAGCGCAAAGGGTCCTGAAACGAACACACGAAGTGATGGTCAACCAGAGGTCCATGATGCGAGAGGTTACACGCAGGGGACACATTGCGGAAGATGCATGCCGAACCCCAAAATCTACCCAAAAACCACAACATGCAAAAAAAACAACACCAAAAAAGAAAAAAAAAAAAAAAAAAATGTGAAAAAAAGGGAAAAAAAGGGGAAAGAGGAGGAGGAGGAGGGGAAGGAGGGGAGGTGAGAGCCTTAAAAAAAACCCCTAAGTCCCAGGTCGATTTTTCTCTTTTCTGTTCAGCGTTGAAACTTTTTTATGTATTTTAGTGTTCCCTCACACCAATTCCCAAAGCCAACACTCGAATGAAATGAAGTCCACGTTGAAAATTTCACAACGAGAAAAAAATACTGGGACTTAGTTAAAATTTTAACTTTGTCCCAATAAAATTTTCTCGTTGTGAAATATTCAATGTGAGCCTCATTCATTCGAATGTTGGCTTTGGGATAATACAGCATGCATAAATAACTCGTCTGTCTTATTGAAAAGGTTTCAGAAAATTTGGACTTAGAAAAAAAATTATCTGAAAGAACTTAGAAAATAAAAATTATTCGAAAGAATTATAATCAGAAAAATTTGGACTTAGAAAAAAAAAAAATTATTGAGAAATTATTTAGTTAATCGATGAAATGAAATCATATTAATCGAATCAAAAACGTTTAAACGACTTGATAAAACATGTGAAACCTTTACAATTAATCGAGACAAAAAAATAAATATAGCTGACTTGAATAATATACAAATTATTGGAAAAAGCCAAAAAAGAAATTCAATAAAACTTGTAAAATGAAATAATAAAAAAATGTTCAAAAACTTTAACATTAAAAACTTCAAAACTGTTACAAAGCTCATTGTTACCCTTTAGAAAGCGAGTTAAATAATTTTTACAACTTGAATCGAATAATAAACTTGTTAACAAAAATATCTTTGTCTAATCATTCAAGTCAACTCTTTGAAACTTCGATTGCATGTCTTGATCAAAATTGTTTTTAGCAACAAAAGAAAAAAATCTATCATTCAGCTATGCAGCGATATGATTGAATAAATTTAAAATAAAATTACAGTAAAAGACTTTTAAAAGCTGCATTTAATTAAGAATTTGGTAAGTCGTATTGAGTATTTGAAATAATTTGATCAAAACCTACAATCGGTTATCCATAAATAAGAATGTACATGCAGTCAATATCGCTACAGGGAAAACACATGATTCTTGATACTGGAAATGTAATTTAAAAAATTGTTTCCAAAGGATAATGAACAAGAGGTGTCACAAAATAAGAGATTTTTGTAACAAAGTAAATTGTAATTTGTAATAAAATCGCATCAATTTAGGTGTTACCTAAGGAAGGATGCTAGGGACCCTTCAACAAATAAGTAATCGATGCTTAAAAGCTGTATTGGTTAACTAATAATTTAATAACAAAAATTTAATATAAATAATAATCTGAATTCCACACAAAATCAGTTCATAGTTTTATTTATAGAGCAAAAGAATCTCGGGGGAATATATTATGGAATTGTAATATTATGAATTACTTTCAATGACTTTGACACATACAAGAAATACAAACTTTAGTGATTTAGAACATGTATAAAAGGCACTTGTATAAATAAATAAAAAAAATGAATCAACATGTTTTCCCCACAACAAATTAAATAAAAACATATTTTTTACACATATGTCTGCCAAATTAATTTAAAATCTTTTATTTTCATAATAGATAAATAAACAAAGAATATATGTATTTTATGCATTAAAAATTAATAAAGTATATCTTATTAAATAAAAAATATTGACTCAAATATAATAGTATAAACAATATTTTCAGCAGATATATGTATATAACTATATTAATAATGCACGGGCCAGAAAATATTCCACTAAAATATATACAGGCTGCCTTATAAATGATATCAGATAAGAAAGGGACATGTTCTCAAAGCACCTTCGAATTAATTTCATTTAATATGGAAAACAAGCATTAAATACATAACTATATAAGAAATATTATTATTACAAGCATAAAAGTAGTAGATAATAAAAAACTCGGTCATTAATTGTAAACTTCTCTCAGGAAATAAATTATAAGTAATGTCTTTTTATTTATTTCTATTCAAATCATAGTTTTATTGAAGATGACAAACAATAATGTATCGAAATAAATATTTTCAAAATTATTTGACTGCTTTAAATTCATATGCATTTATATATATATATATATTACATAAGTTAAATATTGAATATTTAAAACACTATAGGCACAACAGATATGGTACGATAAATGCCTGTATATAATTCCAGAAATATATCCTTTGACTCGCTTTGTATAAAACATGCTTTGCACTTACATTGTTCGATATCCTCTATAGCAGCTCCCAGAACACAAATCCAATACACGAACCACATCTAGAGCATCTGCCAGAAATCTTAAGTACTCGACACAAAATCACTACTTTAGAACCACTGCATAACTCTAGTCTTTTACAAGTCAATTTGACCTGTTGCAATTGTCCGAGTAAAGTCTTTGCATAATACACGACACACGACTTATATTAGAGACTTTCGTGAATTTAGAATTCGATAATAACAGATATGTGTTGGAAGTACTCAAATATAAGCTACAAAAGCATATATATAAATTATACTATTGATAATTGCATGTATATAATTAAAGGATACATTGGCGCTGTAAATGAATTAATAACCAACAAAAGCACATATATAAATTATACTATTGATAATTGCACGTATATAATTAAAGGATACATTGGCGCTGTGAATGAATTGTTTAATTATAAAATTGATTCAAAATGGAGACCCTGAAAGAGACACTTATCAAACTATTCAAGGCACCTCCACACATATCCATTTTTTCGGCTTTTAATTAACGTTTCACGATAAATTTATTATATCAAAATGATCTACTGAATTAATTACATGTTTTGATGCATAAATTAATTAAAACTAATCAAGGATTTAATTAAAAAAAAACGTTAATTAACCCTAGCACATGTTAAGTCACGAAAATCTGTTTGACAATCGAGTGGCATTGAAGTTGTCAACATGTGTCAGAATGGCTGTCACCTCCTGTGCAATTTAAAGCGCGAAATTCAAATATATGTTATTTAAATTATCAGTTTTCATACAAGTACATAAATAGTGAATGATTTGATTTTTGCGATAAATAAATTATATCTGAATGAAAATATTATCTTAATTGAAAAAATAACCTGAATCTTGATGACTAATTGATATAGAATTTGAAATATAATATATAATTATCCAAGATCTGAAATATAAACTAATAATAAAAATATCCGAATAGTAGATATTAATGGCATTTATTTCGATTTATAAAATATACAAGCATTCATCATTAACTATATTGTTAATAGTATAGTATATACCTTATTTTAGATTTTGCTAGAACTTATTAACTATGATAAGAATCAGGGCCGGATTTAAAAATTTGGCGCCTTGGGGCACTGACAAAAATGCCGCCCCATCTCTGAATTTTTAGTTAAATAGTTTTTATATATGATTTTTCTAAAATTAAAATAACTGTTTGATTGCAGAAAATTTATTACGCATTACACACGATAAATTGTATGTATGAAACTTCCGTTACCAAAAATAAAATAAAAAAAAAATTAATTAATTTTTTAGAAAATTTTTGTACTTCGCGCTGCTTTAGCTGCGAAGGACAAAATATAGAAGCGCGTAAAAATATTAAATCCTCGCCGGTGAACAAGTTAATGAGTATATAATGCTATAATATAAAGAAAATATATTTATGTTTATAATGCCTGTACATATACCGTGTGTTTTTTTCAGCCAATTCAATATTATCAAGAGAGCCAAGTGTATAGTTCTATCAAGTCAAAGCATTAGACCGAGACAAAGCAAATGTATAAGGAACTTGACTAAGATTTTAAGACACCCAAACAGTAAACATATTGTTTTACACAATTGTCTACACTAAAAAGTACACCCAATATAAGTATCCAAGAAAATTTTATAATTATATTTTTGTAATTTACGTTACAGCATAATGTAATTTGGCATAATCAAATCATAATCAAATTAAAACAGCAAATTAAATTAAATACAATATATTTATTCATTATTTCATTCACATCTAAGCACTTAACTATTCAATATATCACAGTAGGCATCAGACGGACGGATAGTATAATTAGTAGTTCAAACGATTGTTCTCACTCATGAGCAACTTGAGAGTTGAAGACCACTTGGCTTCAAGTTGTCGGTTACCCTAAAAACAAAGACAATGAATTAGAACAAGTTTCATAAAATATACTTTAATAATAAATTACCTGATAAATCATTCAGTACCGTATTCCAAGCAACCTCAGTAAGACCTTCATAATAAAACTCAACAAGTGGTATTTATAATAACTGATGAAGTAAGTGAGATTAGTCATCTTATTGAGTTAATAAGAGTTAAGTTAATCATGCATAATTATAGGCAGTTAAAAAAAAACTCTAGCGAGTCATTCACATGTTAGAGCTTCAGGGCAGTAATAGTTGGATTGAGAAGATCTGCAAAAAAGAAAAACATTTTAGGAATGTTTGCATTTATGCTGGTATGGATAAACACATACCTTGTAACATGTTTCTGGAAAGATTCCTGGTGAAGGAGTCAGTGTGCAGAGCACCAGTATTCGAAAGGACCTGGAAAAAAACATGTTATTGTTCACGTTTATACTGATAATGGATAAAAACGTACTTCATAAAATATTTTCAGAGCGGTTTCTGGTGAAAAAGTCAGTGTGCAGAGCAGCAGTCGTCAGAAGGACCTGAAAAAAAATCATTTTAGGAATGTTTGCATTTATACTGGTATGGATAAACACATACCTGGTAAAATGTTTCTGGAAGGATTCCTGGCGAAGGAGTCAGTGTGCAGAGCACCAGTAGTCGAAAGGACCTGAAAAAAAAACATATTGTTCACATTTATACTGACTATGGATAAAAACGTACTTCATAAAATATTTTCAGAGCGATTCCTGGTGAAGAAGTCAGTGTGCAAAGCAGCAGTAGTCAAAAGGACCTGGAAAAAATAAACATATTATTGTTCACATTTATACTGATTATGGAATTAGGAAAATGATTATTTTTTTTTTCTTGTTTTTGCTATTAATTTTTCATACCTTCGGGAAGCAGGTAATAAAACAAAAATGATACTTATCCAAACCTCCTGGACACCGAAAATAAAATATTTTTTTCTCTGCATTATTTTCATTAGTTGCGCGGAAAATCCTTGGTATAAAATATAAAACACAAAGCCTTCACATTATATATAATATGCATCTACCTATTGCATTGCAACTAAGCGCATTAAGTGAATTTTATATAAAGCAACTGCTGACAGAGTTTTTAAGTTTTTGCAGTAATTTCATTAAACAATAAAACGTCCCGTTGCCGCCGTAAAGTGCATTTGACAACAATGAGCAAAGTTATTTCTAATAAACTTTAGTTTCTTGTTGAGTTCGCAAAGTCATTCGGGATTCGAATTTGAAACATAAACGAGGAAACGTTTTAAATTATTTGTTCCTAATTATAATTAAGACGGAATTCAATACAGTGACAAACTTACTTGCAACAAAGAAAACTCCTCTGCACCAGAAAATATTAAGAAAACTTTGGAAATATATAATAGGAACTATTGCAATATAATGTAACTACTTATGACATAATTTATGTGTATATTAAATGTATTATTTATGCTATTCATACTGGTTCAATTCCCGCTACCGCCAAAACTCGACATCAGGCAGCTTTGATGTCAAATTTCAGCTTGGGATTATAGATCTCAATACAAATTCAAGTGGAAATCGCCCTTTAATCATATGGTAACTATTAGGCTTAAGAGTTAATACATAGAAGAATGGTAAGTAGGTTTAAAATATTATTGTGGCTTAAGACATTGTTGTATTTTTAGGCCATTAGTCTGAAATAAATAAATAAAAAAATAAATAGAAGTATGGTAAACCGATGGGTTGCCTCTCACAAAACACTAAGTTATAAGTCCTCAACAAACAGCTTATTGAGCATGTAAGCTTAAAGTAGTTCTGATTGCTTTTGAAACAATGAATAAAAAACTAATATTGACAAAGGATAAGTTTATGTTTTGCCCGAAAATTTAATTTGTTTATTTCAGGATTTAATGTTATAAATTAATGTATAAAACCATAAAACTACTTGAAATTTATTAACTTCTCGTAGGGTAAGTTATAGTAGTGGTCCAAAAATGAAAAATGAAAATTTTCGCAGATCTTCACGTTTTAGAGGTTTCTGAACATTTTGGCATACCTTAGAATGGATGTATGTGTGGGTATGTATGTGTGGAGACAATTTTTCGTCGTCAATTTCAGGCGATTTGAATTGTGAAAAAAAACATTAGACTCCTATTGTTGAGGAGACGTACTGATTAGTTTTTGACAAAGACAGTTCCTGCAGCTTTGGAGATATGGAACAAAAAGTGTTAAAAATGCCAGTTTTTATAAAAACTGGATCAACCGATTTAATGATCCAAAATACATTCAATTTGTAATGATGGGAAGAAGTAGTGATTAGATTTTGGCAAAGGCAGGTCTAGCATTTCGGAGATATCAAGCTAAATGCGCAAAGAATGGCAGTTTTTGAAAAAACTAAGCATCTTATTTGAATGATTTAAAAAACTTTCTGCTTGTGGTGACAAAACGATTACTTTTGAGGAAAGAATTTTTTTTATATTTTTTTTTGCAATTTTTTTTTTGATTTTTTTTTAATATCGAAAAATAATGCGAATTTTATTTGTAATTCTGGCTGAAGTGCTAAAGTTCATTTTTACACTTTAAATGAATAATTATAACTTTGCAGTTCAGTTTATGTAATTCTTATAAATATTGGACAATGTCCTTCATTTTAAATTTACTTGATTAAGTTTTATTTATTTACTTTTCATAAAATTAAAATAATGAACGAAACATTATTTATAATAATCTATTTGAAAATACTTATATGCCTCGAATATTTCATTAAAGTACGGTAAGTTCCAGCAATTTGCCTTAAGACACTATGCCATACATCACTAGTTTATTACTTAGGTCATGATGATTTACTGAATAACATCTACAGTAACCAAATATGAATGAAAAATATTTTAATGCTAGTTTCATTTTCTAGTGATTATTTTTTTGAGTTTTGCATTTTCTCTATATCTATAAAAAAATTATTGCTTAAAAGAACCCAGTAGGTAAAGAGGCATTTTCGTTGACTGCTATGAATAAATCTCTTTGAGTTATTAATACTTATTAAATTTTTATTATCTGCTCAATATAACCAGTTTTCTTATTCTGATATTGATCGAGAATAAAAAAAAACATTTTAGGAACGACCTCATTTTAGCTCGTTTTAATTTTATTATTATTTATGAGTAATTATGCATTCTGAGCACGAGTAATACCGCAGACGAGAAATATGTGTATCAAGGGTTCACATGGCAATATTCATTTATTCTGAAATAAAAACTGTTCAATTATTTTATGTAATTTTGTTATACATTTTTATGAATGTTTTATCAAACTTTCTACAGATTGCTTATGATTTTGTAATAATTTATAGGGTAAGGTAAGTTGTGGGAATTGCAAAGGAATCGAAAATGAAAATTTTTGGACTAAATTTTTAAACTAAAATCATAATTCTCTACGAGTTTTTTTAGATTATAGTGAATTAACTATAAAAACATCAGCTCAATTGTTATGATATTTTTTTTACAAATATTATACATTTTGATGCTATATTTCTAGTTTTCTGCAATGATCAGGCTATATTTCTAGTTTTCTGCAATTTACTCTACAACAGAAAAGAGTATTGAAACAAAAGGTTTATGTCACATTTTGGTTAGAATTCCTCTATTTATTGTTTGAACCCCTTCTATGCCCTAGATGCCAAAGAATCGTCAAAATAATAAATTTTTTTTTTGACTATTTTCGAAAACTGCTTAACTTTAAAGTCGTATGACCCGAACACTCTTGGGTCCAAATACATAATATTCCTGAAGTAGAATTCTAACTCTATAGTAACTAGAATCTGTATTCATCAGCTCAAAATATTTCACAAAAAAATTGTGCATTTGATGAAGGCAATATTTGGAGTTTTCTGAGATTTTCTCGCTAACTGATAAGAGCATTGAAATAAATTTGATTTTCATTTAGTCTTGGAAACTTTTTATTTTATATAAACATGATGATGTTAAACTAGATACATAGTTCCTTAAATTAAACATCAAACCGACAATAAAATTTCATAATAGGTCTATTGCAAAATAAAGTCATTTGTTTTATAGTTTGAGTGGCATCTTTTGATATTGACCATCCCTGCGGGTGTACAATTCGTGCAAGAGAGGTTTTATTTTAAAATTCTTTTTTATGCGTAGAGCACAAAGAAAATTAATAAAAAAGCTGGGTAAATGGCGTTGTATTGTGCTGTATTCTGTGCCATGGACTGCACAGGACTCGACAGAATGGGCAAAACTGACGTGGCTGATGCTCAGTACAATTTCACTATGAAAATTCTAGATTATTCATGAATATATAACGCGAACGTCGTCGTAGATGTAGACGCTTCTCTTGTTTGTTTTCTTAGACTGATCGTCGCATACTGTATTTATGACCTCTTTTACCGTAGCGAGGAAAAATTTATTTCAAAGCTGAAGAAGTGTGATAATGGTTATGTCACATCTTTTTCTAAAGTCGAATTTATTTTAAAACTTTTTAAGGCTTGTACAGCTGCAAGATTGCGGGTTCAAAATTTGCGTAGCGTTCAAAATTTATCATGCAGTAGTGATGTCAATATCACTTGAAAATACACACTACTAATATACTAAATGTCTCATAAAAAATGTTATTTTTAAGCTGAAGTGTGGTATGGTGAGGTCACATCTTTTCCTGAAGTCGAGTTTACGTTTTTAGAAAAATCTAAGGCTTGTACTATCCAACTACAAGAACGCAGGTTCAAAAACCGCGTAGAATGCCAATCTCACTTGATACTACACTAATGTTATACTAAACGTCGCACAAAAAACTGATTTCAAATCTAAAGAAGTGTGATAAAGATGATTTCACATTATTTTCTGAAGTCAAGTTTATGGTTTTAAAAAATTCTAAGGCTTGTAGCAGCCAACTACAAGATTGAGAGTTCAAAATCCGCGTAGCGTACAAAATGATATCAAGCAGCTGGGATGCCAATCTCACTGAAATTATAGACTAATGCTATACTAAACGTCGCAAAAACGGATTGCAAATCTAAAAAAGTTAATTGGTTAATGGGCTGGAAATCACAAGTCTCAATAAAAAATAAACTCCTAATATACAAGATAATTATTGAACCAATATGGTCCTACGATCTACAACTATGGTGTAAATCAAACATAACTATTCTACAGAGGTTCCAAAACAAAATTTTGAAAAAAAATCGTGACCGCTCCAAAATATGTTCCCAACTCGTTAATACATCAAGATCTCAGAATTCCAACTATAGAAGAAGAAATTAATCATTATTGCTCCAGATACAAAGCTAGTCTAAGTCGCCATCCAAACTTGCATATAACCTGCACAAGCCTTTACCGCCAAAACGTCTCAAAAAAGAATTTGCAATGATTTACAACAACAAAACACGTAATATATAAGGTGGTATCGTAGGATAGCGATCCTTTTCACGCTGTCAAATAAATATACATGTAAATTAGCTGAATGTACTGTGTGTATAATTTGCTAAATACAATAAAACAAAAAAAAAATCTAAAAAAGTGTGATAAAGATGATATCACATCATTTTCTCAAGTCTAGTTCACGGTTTTAAAACATTCTAAGGCTTGTATAGGCCAACTACAAGAATGCAGGTTCAAAATATGCGTAGCGTACAAAATGATATCATGCAGTAGTGATGCCATTCTCACTAAAAATACACACTGCTGGTATACTGAACGTCTCATAAAAATATTATTTCAGACCTGAAGAAGTGTGACATGGTAATGTCGCATAATTTTTTGAAGTTGAGTTTATGTTTTTGAAGTATTTTGAAGTGGTATTGTGGTCCAGTGCCAGACCTTGCAACCACATAGTTTTGTATTCAAAATCTGTGAGGCGTATGAAATACTTCAAAATACAGATCAACATGTAGGGGAGCTAGGGGCTTATTATAACAGATTTTCCTGAATTTAATATATCTTGAGATCACTGATTTTATTGGAATGGATTGATGATGCAACTATTCTCTCTTCCTCTTCCAAATTTTTTTTTCTTAATTACAATCTGTCACACTTAGGACATTCAGTAATTGTTTTGACTTTACTATAGTCTTCATTATTTCACAAATAATTATTTTTTAGAAAAAGTGCAGTATAACTACTTAATTCGTGTTTGAGACTTTTCATTTTAGAAATGTGAAGTTTAAATGAGGTGGAACGGTGGTAAATATATGGCGATAAAAAAGTATGTAGGTAAATATAGAATGATAACAATAATATATATTTGTTTATACATTTACGTTACATGTGATATTGTCACAATACAAGTCATAAGGGAATAGTATTTGAAAATGGGTCTGGGTTATATATTCGTACCTTAACAAAGGACGTTTTCTATTGCCATCTCTATGGTAGTCATATAAAGGGTCGCTACAAGTATATAAAAAGGAATAAAAATTATTATTTAAAATTGTGGCACAAGAATAATATGGATTGCGAACCGACAAATGAAACTTTAGTATAATTTGTTTATTATTAATTTAAATGATGAAAATATAATAGACAACAAAAACGTGTACAACAGAATACAAAGATTTAAAATTGTAGAAGCAAATACAATTTACAAAATTGATAATTTTATAACTATTTCAATTGAAATACCTAGATTATAATACATCGACCAAAGGCATTAATATTAAATACACGCATTTACTTGAATTATGTCAATAATTATTTAAACAAAAAAAATTAAGTAAAAAATCTCAAATCGATTGAAAAAACTACTCACACTATTATTACAACTTTATATTTACTTCTGGGTGACGAAAGTGTTGAAAAAATCAGGCCTTAAAAGTTTAAAAACATGTTACTTTTTACTTATTGTTAGCCTAGTTTAAAATAGTTTTACAATGTAAATTTTAGTAAACAATAATTTTTACTAATACTTTTTTATATTACACTGAATTAAAATTTTAAATTATGTTCTGGCTGATTGGCATTTATATTGCCATCCGATCTCTTCAATAAGTTGCAAATATTAATAACAAATTTGATTTGCATAAAATAATTTCCAACAACGTTTAAAGAAATTTCTACAATAAAATACCAAAGTTAATTAACATATAATATTATAAAAAACAATATAAAAGTGGTAGAAGAAATATGCAAAAATGCATGCCGATGCATTTTTCTAATAACATTTCTGCTAAGCGTCAGTGAAACGTGCAACTATTTTAATAAAGAACATGAGGTTTTCTTAACTGAATTTTGAATAAGTTGGATTTGAATAGAATAATAGATCACTTACATAATTTTTAGTTGATTGTTTAACAATTCAATATCTTCAGTTACAAATATTTCACGTTTTGTAACGTTCTTGTTTAATATCCATTACTAAAATAATTTTCTAATTAGTAACTAATGTAATTATTACCCATTTGCTTTTCAAATATACAAATATTCAAAAGCACCACTTTTATTTTTGTTAATACATATATACCTAATCTTCATGTTTTTAACCATGTTATAAATTTCTCAGTATGCCATAAAATTATTTTTGTTAAGCAACGATATAAGTTTTAGAATTTTATTTCAATGAGTTTTTTCTGAAGCAGCATCCGACCTAGTTGTTTCAAACTTTGCGGTTATTTCATGGTGCTGTTTGGTATATGTTTTATCCTTTTTACAAAGTAATTTCTATTATGAATCCCACTAATAAAAGTCTCGACATTGTTGCTAGTTTCATATTTACAAAACCATTATGAAATTCCATTGCTCGTTGGATATGCGGCGATGAAAATTATGTGAATATAAGAATTATTCAGATTTGTGAATATTTTTTATCATTTTTATTTTCACGCTTAGTTTACGCATATTTTAAAGATGTATAATTGGTTGATGTCATTTAATTAACATCTGAAAAAAAATTTTAAGTGCCGTTAATCTAAAAGTATTATTACACCTCATTAACAGGATTTGAAAAATAATATTGATATTGGGATATTTTTAATAAAGATATTATATTCGGTTGATCCGTGCGCCCGAAAACGTGGACGAAAAATTGTATCTATACATACATAAATACATACATACACACACACACATCCATATGGCAAACTCTTCTAGAACTTTAAGAAATGTAAAAATTTTCAATTTCGATTTTTGGACCATTGCAGTAATTTACCCTACGGGAAGTTAAATAATCTTTTAAGTGTCGTTAATCTAAAAGTCTTATTACACCTCATTAACATAATTAGAAAAAAATATTGGCATTGGGATTATCTTAATGAAGATATTATATTCACTTACTATTAATTATTTATTGTTAATCATAATAAATTTCTGAAGTATTTTAATTGAAAATTTAAAAAGTTGATTAGAAGACGTCTAGAGCAGAAATGTAGTAGTAAAATAATATGGCGCAAAGTATGTTTTTACTTTGAAAATATAAATTTATCTACTTTGATATAAAAAGTTTATTTACATACTTTTATATTCAACTTGTTTATGGGTCATTCTCCGCGTAAAGTAAAATATATTAAAAAAGTAGTCTCATAGAAGTATATGCTTTTCTCCACCATTTATATCCATTTCAAGTACACTTAATATAAATCACTCACCTCACATCACAACTATTCTGACTTAACACTATTCCTACCGGGACCGGTCAAATGACCGTTTTGATTTTTCGATTAGTATTTTTCATATCAAACGTAATTGAATCGTCATCAAACTTTATGACTTTTCCTAATATGTGAGTATAAAACATTTTTCAATGTTATTTGTTTTTCAATTTTTATTTTTGGAAAAAAAATTGTATGCTGTCTTACCTACCGCGACCGGTCATTTGACCGGTAGTACGAAAGACGATGTTCGGATGGTTTTTTGTAGTAATTGTTAAGAATATTTTGGAACTTACAAGAAAATGTAAATTCAGAAGAATTTAGACTGGTAAAAACTGCCTTCTGCAAATTTATATGCATTTTTTTCGATTCTGTATGCGCGGTGCGCAAATAAGGCAAGTAGTATAAATATTGCATTTCTACGGTATAAAAAGTGGGATTTCTCAATTTTCTCAATGTCTATGTATAGACAGATTTTTACGAAGGAATCTAAACAATAAATCGATAGGTTTTGTTTTGAATCCAAAGGTTGGTTCAACTACATTGACAGCAATCAAAATTGTTGTAAAAGACTACGTATTACTATCGACAAACATATATTTTCAATAAAGGTAAGGTGTAAATTCATTCAACATATGTTCAATAGTATTTAGGAAAACGTATAAATATTAGTAACTGTTCAATATACGATGTAAATATAATTATGCCCTGCAAATCGCACAAATGGGGTGTAAAATTTTGGTAACCATCCAGTATACGTAGCAAACTGAGATATTCTTTGAAGATTTATAACTGATGAAACCGTATTATCAAAATCGCTAGTACGACATAAAAAATATATAACGTTTTTACCATCCTACATATAGCTAAACTTTTAGTAAAAGAAAACTGATGGTAGGTACAATTGAAGCAAATAACAGCTATAAACACTGGCAGAACGAAAAACCAAAGACTTCAATACTCAAATAATATTTACAATTTTGGAAGATAAGAAAGAAGATTCTAATTTTCACTTACATACACATATGTTGAAAAAATTACACTAATACGGGAGTTAATTCTATTGGTATTAGCGTCGGGACTGGTGTAGATGCCATTCATAAAATAGTCAGAAATTATTTGGTAAAATATGAATTTTAGAGAGAATTCATCAAGAATTTACATTATTTTGGATGTATTCAGGATAAATCCATTGTTGTTAAATAAAGAAATTACGAGAAGACAATGTACAAGGCAGGAACTTTCTATTCCAATTAACTTGTCGTATAGTTCCAACAAGAATTCAGAAAAAAATCAGCTAAGTACAAGTACAAACAGATTCCCTAAAAGAAACTATTCCAGATAATGCTTTAGAAAAATGATAGAGAAAACAAAATCAGCCAAAAACGTAAAAAATGCGTGTGCAGAAAATACACTCTAAGAAAAAAAATCGTGAAAAATTGGATAAAACAGTATAAAATGTAGAATTCGCATTATAAAATAAAAGAATATATTGTATTTGTATTTATAAACTCTTAAACTAGCATTAACTCTTCATTCAATACTGAAAAATACCGATTTTGCATGACCGGTCATTTGACCGGTCGCGGTAGGAATAGCAAACATGAAATGTCGGTAGGAATAGTGTTATTATTGTTTTTTATCAATGTAAATAAAAAAATGGTAATTTATTATTAAAAATATACTGTTCATATTTTTTTAAATAATATTTATAATGATTATGAGTCTCCAAATATCTACAGAAAATAATAAAAACTTATTAAGATATACCTTACAATAACAACTTGACAGAAAATATGTGCCAAGAAATACTGGCGTCGCGTACACCTGGCTTTAGAAAAATAGGCTTGTTAGATTAGATTTGTGAACTGAATAAATTTAATTCACTTTACATCTACTTTACTTTAAATTTTTAGTCTGTCCGACTAGTTAACAAATTGTTTTGGTACTACAGTCAGGGTCACCGGTGGCAGCCTAGATTTTCATCTCCAAACGCATTTGATTACAGGAGACTGTCCAATTGTCCATTGACATTTGCAATTCAGGTCTCTTATGAGATGGCGTTGTGGAGCATTAATTTGCTAAATTTCGAAACTCTTGCTGCGAAATTCTGCCAGCCTAAGGTATGGCAGAGGTCTTTCCTGGATTGTACCTTTGGGAGCAAGGTGCCTCTGCCATACCTGGAGCTAACAGAATTTTGAGTTACGGAAGAAATATTATGTGTTACTACTAATTTTTTGGAAAATCATTAATGAACAAGTGGAAATTTGATCTTTCTAATCAAATTTCAATTCAATTCAAATGATATATTTTAATTTTAAAATGTATATAACATAATGTCTAACCTTGTATATTATACCTATAACCTTGTATACATAAGTCTAACCTTGTATATTATAATTCTTCATTATATTTTACACTAGTACATTTATTTATAATAAAAATATAAAAAAGTGTATTGTTTTATGCGACAAAACAAAAAAAAATCTTTCAAAAATCAATATCAGTTTTTAACAATTGGACCAGCGGGGGCGATATCGGTTAGAAGGTGGGCTAGCACCAACGAGTCCCGGGTTCGCTGGTTCGATTCCCGCTACCGCCAAGCCTGACACCAGGCAGCTTTGATGTCAAATTTCCACTTGAGGTTATAGATCTCAAATATAGCCTCTCGTGGCTATAGTTGCATATATAATAAAAATGTCAGCAAATACTTCGAGTATAGATAATTAGTCATAACTGGACAGGACAACTACTGGGATTGCCATCCATTCAAGATATATATAATAATAAAAAGTCAAAACAATTACTGAATGTCCTGAGTGTGACAGATTGTAATTAAAATAAAAATAAAAAAAGTTTATAACAATAAATCTTCTTTGGCATATCGAAGCCAAAAAGTTCATAAATATAATCTATTATTCTGAATACTACTCTTGATTAGTTTTTGTTTTTCTTTTCAGACATCTCGAGTCTCAATATCAGAAAATAGTAGCAAGTTTTTGCAATTCTGATTAAATTCTGAATTAAATTTGCAAACAGAAATGCAAATGATATAGTGAAAAAAGTCTTGAAATGTGTATAATACTAAATAGCATTTAATAAAATAGTGTGAAATGCATGAGTAGTGTACTTATATTTTTAAAGATTATAATTTTCTACTTATAGTACTGATGACAATGAAAGATTTAAGACGATAT